AATCAATTTAATCGAAAAGAAAAAGTTGACCGACAAGGGATCGCCACAAGCAAACTCCAAAGGATGATCGTCAAGTGTTGAGCGGCCAAAAAAGCGTGATGGGTCGGAGGCAATTAGGGTCGACTGACCTAGGGCATAATGAACCCCAAAGTCAAGTGTTTACGACCAATATATGGATGATTGACGTAGACCACACTAATCAAATCAGTCGATGGATCACAAAGTTAACGAGATCGGACGAACAAGAGGCGCCACCTGATATCGCACGATCGACACCCAGATTCATGACCGGGGGGGCGGAATTCAACTCCTATAAACATGAGGCACAATATATTAAAAGAAGGAAAATCATTTTTTATTGTCATTCCTTCATTAAATAACCTTGGTCAATTCTCAGGGATTCTTCATGTTTTTTTTCTCAAGGAATACTTATTTTCTCTTCTTCTATGTGTTCTATTCCTTGATAACGGCTCAAATATAAATCTTAGTTCAATATTCATTAAACAAGTCAGATTGTGAGCGGCAAGAACTCATAGAATTAAGCTCGAAGTCAATTGATTAATAAGCTCAAGCTCAAGTTGAGCGTGGCTCGAGCTCGATTCAACTCGTTTAAACCACTAGAGGTGGACATCAAAACTAGAGCCCTAGGAACAATAGTATTGGTCAGTTGGACTACAAGATTGCAGGCATCAACGAAGGCGGCTACTGATGTGGCCACCAATAACATCCAATACTTCTTACAAAGTTATTAATTTGAAATTTGCCCAAATTAAGCCAATTTCAAATATATTGAAAATAAACTAGAAAAAGAACTCTGAATTTGTTGTAATTTTTACACTAAAATTGGAATTCGTTCACTAAAACATCCAAATATCTGAAACTCATACAAAACAAAAGGAATACAATGCACACTTTTTAAAGCACACCAAACAGCTCCCTAATCCGATCTGACCTCTATGACTCCTCTGTTCCACATAAAATTAACGCATCTAACATCCTCCTTAAGAATATGCGATTTTTTCACCTGCACAATGTCAGACTTGAGCTTTATCTTGATAATCTACACACACACACACACACACACAGGATAGCTTCAACAGAAGCATCCATTTATCTCAGAAATTTAAGAAAAAAAGATCTTTTACATACATACCACCCAATTCCTATATATTTACACATCCAACAGCTAACTTAATTTTTTAGATTAATACCACTCAAACCTTTCGTTTCACCATAGCTAAGATAACAAATATGTAAAAAATTGAAGTTTGAAGTGTTCGGTATATAAATGCATTGGAATTAAGCGGGCAGGTAAGTAAATTTTCCTTAAATAAATAAAAAAAAAATCAAAGAACCTGGGGCGATTTCTTCTCCTTCTTCCCCGAGAAAATCCCTGCAGCGCAAACAGATCTCAAGCTCCTTTCAATCTGAAACCCTCCTCCGAAGCTCACCTCCCTCTCCAAATGCCTGCAGTAGCTTTCGAACACGCTCACGCTCACTTGAAGCTTGAAACCCATCAAGAACAGCAAGTTCAGCTCCAATCTGTTCATCTCCTGTGTTGATATCCCCCCAATCTTCGCAAAATATGAGTTCCTATAATTCCTGTTCACACATACATAAATTAAAATAAAATAAAGGAATATTTACATAGATACCACTCAATATTTGTTCGGTAAAGCTCATGTACTAGATAAGAGACAGATACTGGAGCATAACAGAGCGAGAGTTAGCGGAGTGGAAACATCCGTCAAATTGGAGGAGTTTCGTTCAGTGGGTTGGGTACGGGGGCAACACCTACGCGGTACTGCACAGCTGAAATTTTGTAATTGCATATTGTACACTAAAGTTATATATATATGTTGTATTTGTAACGCTAAGGGTGATGTACTTTTTTTCGTGAAATCAGAAAGCTGCCGAGAATGTACTGTTCTCTGAAATCAAAAAGCAGCTGATCTTGCTCCTGAGGACATAAGCATCTTGTTAAATCCTTGTGTCCTTGCTTGATTTTTTGTAGATTCTTGCATTTATTTGCTCTAATTTCTCAACTATATTTATATATTTACATATCTGACAACTAAATTTTAATTCCGAACATAAGTCAATTCCGAACGAGCTTGAAACTTTTACAGCCCCATACATATGTCTCCTCAGTTATGCATCAAAACAAGCATTTCAATATTTTTACAGCAAAATTTGTGGTCCTGATATAAAAAAGATGTGTTATGTAAAAAATAGAGTTTAGGTGTTAGATCTGTAAATCTATAAGAACTGCGTGGTATGTATGTAAATAATCAAATTTTGATAAAAATGTGCTATCAATTCTTCTTCATAAATGAAATTGAATGCCGAATGTCTGAAACAATTAATAGCCCTCCAAATCATATTCCTACAGCTAACTCCCACTCATCATTAACTGGCCGGCGCTCACAGCCAGCAATCATCTCTCACAGAAACTCATCGGCCAAACAGTTCTGATCCTCTAATTCCAATGAATTCTCTCTCAAACGCCCAGTTTTAAACTCAAGAAAGAAGAATTACAATGACAAGAGAACTCACATGTCTTCAATGAACTTGGAGGCGACCAACACGGCGGTGATGAGGAGCCGATGAACGTTCCGATCCGAAACAAAGAAACTCGGATTCAACTCACACAGTCTGTCGAAGTAAACGTAGGCGACGACGAACACCGGCGGCGAGACGCGAGCGTACCGGAATATTCTATCGAGGAATGATTGGATGCTCATTTCAAGCACCCGCCGGCTTTCAAACGCTCTAATCCGCAAATCCTGCTTCGCGGAGGCTTCGCAAGCTGCAATGCGGTGGGTTTTAGCCACCGCTCGGTCAATGAGGGAAGCGAGGACGGAGATGACGAGAGGCGGCGGCGAGTCGGAGTTGCAGGGGAAGGAGTAGATGTCGGATCGAAGTCGGTTTGGGGAGATTGATGTCGTCGTGGACATTGTTAGGGTTTCGAATAAGCTTCTGTGGCGTACTTTGGGGAGGAGATGAATGGGGGAAATATAGCATTTGGGGACGAAGAGAAGATGGCGGTGAAGATGTAGAGAAAGGGTTTTCAGCCGGTTTAGGGGAATTTCAGATCTGATGCAAGTCCGAGACTGTGTCAAGTGTCAGATAGCCAGATTTTATTAGGGGCATTTGCATACATACCCCACAAGTCTTATATATTTACAAATCTAATGGCTTAATTTTCATATTTACATACATACCATTAAAATCTTTCACATTACATAAAAAAATACTACTATTCTTACTTTTTTTTAAGTGAAATGCATCTTTTCTTGCATAAATTTATTCATTAAAATATTATGTATCTAAATACAAACATTTAGATATCAAGATATGTAAACACGTGAGAATTGTGGGGCATGTTTGTAAATTTCCGATTTTACATAACTGATATGAATTCTGTTTTGGTTGGAGTGGGCGCATATTTGGTTGCATATAAGAGATTTATATTTTTGTTTGATTCAATCATAACTAAGAAAGCCATGTGGATGGAAATGTGAATTATATAGATATGAGAACATCTTTCACCCTTAGTTTTGTTTGTTTGTTGGCCTTGAAGGAGATGAAATAGAAGAAATGATTGTTTCTTAAAAAGATGGGATTTTTACTCAATCAACACATCATAAAAATAAATTAATTAAATATTGTCGACTAAAGGAAAAAAAAAGTGTTATCTTTGATATACCAATCACATGTTGCTAAGTTGCATTCAAGTCAAATACCGACCATGTCAATCCAATGTCATACTCCACTTATAGCCACATGGAGTTACATTAAATCCATTTGCAAGGTCATCGCTCTACACAATTAAGTAGATGTCCTTGTACTAACACATGACATCACATCAAATCACAAAAACCAATTCAATTAAATTATACTTAAATAATGTCTTGCCCCGACCCCTAACATCTTACGGGTAGGTGACTGTGATTATTAAAATGACTCTTGTTCGCGAACAGTTTGCGTCAGCTCGCTAAACAAATGAGCCGAACATGAACAATTTTTTTGTTTGAAATATTAATGAGCCGAGCACGAATAATTGTATTCTTTAATGAGCCGAACACGAGTTGAGCATAGGTTCGCTCATGTTCGGCTTGTTTGCTCCACTATTTGTATTGACACAGGACATCATATTAAACCACATAGATCATTTTGCTGCAATGATTACATTAATTCGATTGTCATTTTTAGTTATATTTCGACACTCTTTAAACCAAACTTTTGCACTACCCAATGGTTAGTAATCATGCACGTTGAGTGATAGTAATAACAATAAAAGCTGATAGATCCACTCTCTCTTCTTGACATTTCTTCACGATCATATGTGATAGCTTATATGATGGTAATCTTATCTCAAACAAAGTCATCATGTACATATCATACAAAATTTTCTAGAGGTTCTAGATTTAAGGGTATAGAATAAGGATCTCTCTTACAAAAAAAAATAAAGAGCTAACATATTATGCACTTTCTAAACTCAATGATAAATTATTGAATACTTAGGATGATGTTGAAATGTTGTTCATTTTAGAATGTAAAATAAGGGTATGCATTTTTCAATCAAAAAATGTTGAACGGCAAAATGTAATTCTATCTATGAAAATATTTATGGATTAATGACTACTGAAAAAAATAGGATAGGGAAAATTCTTATAGCACACAATATCACCTAAAAAAGAAACAAAAAAAAATTTGTGAATCTATAGCTCACGATCTCTAGTGTAATTATATTGTAGTCGTAGGCTTGGTGACATGGAACGCCGTGATTCGGCTTGGCTACACCGATCCCTCCAAAGTGCGGTCTTTTTCAGCACATTGGGCGTGACCACATTGCTCAAATGGTGTGGCCACGCCAGATCGAGACGACAACAATTTTTTCATAATTTTTAAATTTACTCTGATTTGCATGCTAGCCCTCCTATAATCTGCAAAATGCAATTCAAACCTTTCAAATAAGTAAAATCATATATTTAAATTGAAAAATTACTGGAATTAAAGCATAGAAATTGTAAAAATTTAACGCACTTGTCACATTTTATCTATTTATAATGTTATTGGAACTAAAAATTCTCTTTTCATATCTCCAAAAATGTGAGGAAACAATTAAAATTGTGTTTATCTTCAAATAATAATAATAATTTTAAATATTTCATTAAATTCAATGCAATGAAATGTCTCAGATTTACATCAAATAACAATAATAAGAATATTTCATGATGATTATTATTAATTTTATCAAGATTTCAACCCATTTATATGACCAAAATAGCTGTACATTTTTATAAAAAAATATATTAATTTACTATCTGTAATTATAAAATTTTAACAGCAAATAAAATGATAAATCAAGAGAATTTATATCAACAACTTAATAATTATATTCTTAATCATCTCAAAAAATATTTATATCATTACTATCTAATCTAAAATATTCTCATAATTCATAATTTTTAATATTTATAAAAATAAAAATAAAAATTATAATATGAGATATATAAATACATAAAAGAATTGGATGCTATGTTAAATTCAAATTTTCTTCATGTATATATATATATACACACACGCCATTTTATCTTCATGAAAACCCGCGCCACGCCCCCCTTGCCGCTCTCCCCTCCTGATAAATAAAACCAGCATCTATCTACTCTCCGGTTCTTCAATCCATTCGTCGTCCCTTATTTCCCCCTAATTACGGGTAATTAAAGTTCTTCCCTCATCTCATCCCATTTCAATCATGATCTGGTTTATAACTGCAATGAATCGTTGCTACAGCATAGAAGAAAATGGCGAGGAAGAAGATCCGGGAATACGATTCAAAGCGACTCTTGAAGCAGCATCTCCGGCGACTCTGCGGCATCGAGCTTCACATTAGATCCGCTCAGGTGGTTCATCACGTCTTCTTCCCCTGTTATTTCTCCGATCGGATCTGTTTGATGAAGATTATGCAATATAACTGAAATATGTTTGGGTTTTTTTTTTCATATATGAAATCCCTTCTTCATATTGTCGTTAGCTTTATTATTATTATTATTTTTTGGATTAGATAACGGAATCCACCGAAATCAATGAATTGGTGGAGAGGGAACCGTGGCTTTTGTCAGAGAAGTTGGTGGTGAAGCCGGACATGTTGTTTGGGAAGCGCGGCAAGAGTGGGCTGGTGGGGCTTAATCTTGATCTAAATCAAGTCGCTTCATTCGTTAAGGATCGTCTTGGGAAGGAGGTAACTGAGGGATGCCTAATGGTTTCGATGTGTCTGATGGTTTTCCTGTCCTCCAAGGTATCGGATTATTACTTCTTCCTTGAAATACTTTGATCTTTTTGAAAAATTTTTGCAGGTAGAGATTGGGGGATGCAAAGGCCCGGTAACCACTTTCATTGTAGAGCCTTTTGTACCGCACTCCCAAGAATTTTATCTCTCCATCGTTTCTGATCGTCTTGGCTGCAATATTAGCTTCTCAGAATGTGGTGGGATTGAAATCGAAGAGAATTGGGACAAGGTGGGTTTGACATGAGCACAGTTTTCACTACCTTTTGAATTAGCAACTAGAATTAGGGGATATTTGGCTAGAACGAGGTTTTAGCGGTAGTAGGATTTAGTAAATCTGTTAAATAGTAAATCCGGAAATTGTAAATTAGTTCTTTCTCGTAGATTTAGTAAATCTGAATTTAAGCTGAATATCTATATATATATATGAATTTTAGTAAATCTGAATATATATATTTGTCTTTGTCTATGTATCTGCTCGCACTGGGAGATAAATTAAATCTATTTTTATGGAGGATGTATAATTCTTTCCTTTCCTTTGACATGTTTTAACTGCCAAGCAAATGAAAATATTAACTTTCTAAATTTCTGTTTGTGGGTTCTGAGCAGGTTCGGACTGTTTTCATTCCATGTGAGACATCATTGACTTCAGACAACTGTGCTTCTTTGATAGCAACCCTGCCGCTGGAGGTAATCTTAACCATTTTACCTTTATGTCTATATATTCATTTAATGGCTTCAGCTAAGATTTAGAGTATTACAAAACTTGCCTGAAATGGCATTCAAATAAACAATGCTGTTTTGTTCTTGCAGCTAAAGGGAAAGATTGAAGAGTTTATCAAAGCTGTCTTCATTTTGTTCTTAGGTCTTTTGATCAATTCTTGTTTTTCAGAGTGTTTCTTTCATCCCAGAATTTACTCTCCAGGGATTTTATGGCCTTCTGGTTCACTTCTGTTGCAGACTTGGACTTTACCTTTCTCGAGATGAATCCTTTTACATTGGCTAATGGAAATCCTTATCCGTTGGATATGAGGGGAGAGCTGGATGACACTGCTGCTTTTAAGAACTTTAAGAAGTAGATTTCTGAAAATTTTCTTAATTTCTTTGCTTCTGCACATGTAGCTGGATAATGATGATTTTGAACTGAATTTTTGGTGAAGGTGGGGTGATATTGAATTCCCAATGCCTTTTGGTAGGGTGATGAGTGCTACAGAGACTTTTATCCATGGCCTGGATGAGAAGGTGAGTTGTGCCACTATTAAGCTATTTTTCTAATCTTTTACGAAGGATAAATTTTATTTCCACAAAACAATACCATCACCTATGATGAAAAAGGATAATGCTTTACGAAATTGTTTCAAAAATATTCTTGTTAATGGTTGTTCCATTACAAATTACATCATTAATGGTTAGAACTTTCTTATTGTAGCAGCCTACGACTTTTGACTTTTTTGTTATTGGCACGGTCCTATAGCACGGAATGCTTCTTGCTATTTTTGCTCAGCAAGAGTTTGGAAACTGTTATGTGGATTGGAATCCGAGGTTATTAAATCGACTACTCGTTGTTTTAGACCATATTTTGGGGACTTTGAGAAACTACTTATTTTGGCGGTTTTCATTATAAAAAGGATCCCTTAGGCAAGTAAAAATTCATTTAATCATTCAATAAATTTTCAATTTTCTTTCAAATTCATGTGTGTGAGTTGGATGTGAGAAGTTTTCCAAGTTTGGTGCAATTTTTGCTAACTTGTAGAAGAAATTTTCTCCTTGTACCAACATGGGCTTTTTAGTCAAAACCTAGTGCAAAACTCATTAAGAATTTTAAGGAATTTGTGAGAACTAATGGGTTAGAATCATTAAGGATGCCTAATCTCTTGTTATTCATTTTGTCTAACGGGTCTCGCATAAGTCACGTAGAAGTTTTTGTGTAAGTCTGTTCATCTGTGATAAGAGATTGAAGAAGAGTGTGGTACTACTAACAAAATTTGAAGTTATCCTAAGATAGATTAACTATCCAACAACTTAGCAACTATAGATTGCTCTAAAAAGTGGTCAGATTCAATATCCTGAAGAAGAGGAATTTAAGTTTGTGAGAGATAGTGGAGTCATGTCTATATTATGATATCAAGTTTGAAGGCCTTCAAGTTGTTAGCTAAAGCTTAGCAAAGTTTTCTAGTTCAAGAGAGACAAATTAGTTGGTTGATATACTAGTAATAAAAGAGCACCCTAATTCTTTTTAGGCTATTTATCTAGGTTACCTTTAATAAGAGAGATATTTCTCCATTGACTTGATACAAGGTGCAAAACCAATAGTAAATACATCCTACATAATGGCATTCAAGGATTTGCAAGAACAAAAATGTTACTTGTAGGATCTATTAGAGAAAAGATTTATCAGGCCAAGAACTTTACAATACTTTTTGTTAAGAAGAAATATAAGAGTTTAAGGTTATGTATTAGTTATATTGAATTAAAGAAGCTTATAATAAAAATAAATACCCGTTATGAAATTTTCATGATTTTTTTTTATCAGTTGGAAGGGGTTTTATATTTTTAAAGATTGATTTGCAATCAGATTATCATCAGCTAAGAATTAAAGAAAACAACATATAAAATATAACTTTAATATTAAATATTGACTATTAATTTATAATGAATCATTTTGAGTTGTTAAATGCACCTGTAATCTTTATGGATCTCATGAACAAAACTTTTAAACCGGTATGGATAATTCGTAATGTATTTGTAGATGACATTTTGATATATTTTAGTTATGAAACTCAACATGTAGATCGTTTTTGCATAATTTTGCATATTTTGAAGGAGAACCAATTATATGCTAAGTTATGTAAGTGTGAATTTTGATTAAAATACATATTTTTTTTAGGACATTTGATTAGAACTGGGGTTTTTAATGAATCAGAACAAGGTTAAAGCGGTCGTTGATTGGCCCAGACCAACTATTGTCACAGAAGTCAAAAGCGTCCTAATTCTGTCAGGCTATTATAAGACATTTTTCAAGGATTTCTCTCATATTGCAACATATGTCCAAATTGATTCAAAATACAATGAAATTTGAGTGGATGAATTATTGTGAGAAAGATTTTTAGAAGTCATGACAAACCAAATATTGTCGATCCTTTCAGTGACACGGTTTGAAGATGTATAATGATGTCTTCTTAAGAGGATTTGCTTGTGTTCTTATGTAACACAAGAAGATAGTTGTTTATGACTTTAGACAATTAAATAATCATGAGAAAAATTATCATACTTATAATCTGGAGTTACAAACAACCGTATTTGCTCTGAAGATATAAATATATTATTTACTTGGAGTTAGGTGTGTTTATAGATCGCCAAAGGTTACAATATAGTTTCACACAGAATGAATTAAATTTAAGACAAATGATGCGTTGAGTTTATTAAAATTTATGATTTAGATATGCATTAGCATCCATAGAAAGTAAATATAATTGTAGGTACATTAAGCATAAAAACGAGTGGTAGTGTAAATTGGATAATTTCACGACAAGAAGTGTTAATTAAACATATGAAATGTTTATAATTATCAGTAGTGACACCAAATGATGGAATTTTTACACTATTCAATCAAATGCTAATTCAGTCAATTTTGAAGGATAAAATACAGGATGAGTTATCATAAAATACAGAGTTTTAGAAAATTTTAGATCAAATAAATGTAGACCGAATAGAGAAGTGCCACACCCGGCCCGGTATTTAGAATTAACTAAGACGAGAAGAACAATTGGACAATATTAACATCTAACTATCCACATTTTTAAAACTTCCAATATATATAAAAAGCTCACCAATCCACAAAGCGCAGTAAAATCTAAAACATATACAAACAATAACATCAAAAAATAACCTCTCAAGTAAATACTAAATAATATATCAATGTCTGAAAGAAATAGTAAAGAGAAACTATAATCATAACTAATATATATAGCATTGGTATTCCTTCTCTAAACTAAGTCTCTTCTATCAAACATATCAACCTAAAATTTTTCTTTTCCAGAATGAAAACATTAATTGCAACCATAAGTATAACTTAGTAAGTAATTAAAATCTAATATGATTATTGTGTTATGCATGAACGACCAGAAGAAGAATCCAGTTCATTTCATTAAAACTTTATATTATATATTCTCATTTTACTTTAACTATTTTCTAATTTAAATATCTTTAATAGTCATTAGAGGATTATTATCATACTTGAATGTATCCTAAAAGTTGTGTCCGAAGGCACTCTAAAAAATATGTCCAAAGACACCCTTAAAATTATACCGAAAATACTATTAAATTTTACTTGAAAGTATATCTTTACAATTTCCTTTCATGTATACGGGTACATTGCATTCTCTGTCATTATTATCCGAGGGCAATCATGTATGACTTAAACATTTACTTATCATTTTATTTCCTTTAAATTTCCTCTTTTTAAAGGCTAAAGATTCATTTTCCCTTTTCACATTCATTTTCTTTAATTCCTAAGCTACAATATGCATACAATTATGAAATAATCGTCTAAAGCATTAAAAAAAAATTTATTTAATAATTTTAAATTTAATACATATAAGAAACTAATTACTCACCATCGTTATTAAAAGAATTCTGAAAAAATCAACCTTTCACTTCACTTCCTAGCACCTAAACCAATTCACCATGCAAATTCTTATAAGAATATGAAGGCTTTACATATATCTAATGATCTGTTTAAATTGACATATTAAAATCAATAGACAATTTCTCATCTTAAAAAGATGTGGTTCGCTTCTTGCACAGGATCCCTCTTCCACCCCTCAAATTCAACACTATAATTCACCAACCTCAAGTACCAATATATATAACATTTGAATAATTTGCTTAATTTAAATATGAATATTTACTTTATAAGTTGCACTGATCAATCCTCTCTTTAACTCGCACGCTTCTCAACTTATCCTTCGAAGCTGAATTCACTGTTTCTTAAATCCTTGATTTCACTAAAATTTTGCTTTAATTAATCAAACCTACCCTCACACATTAATATTATTATTTATCTAACAATATATTAACATAAATATTACAACACCATTATATTAAAACTTCGGCCTTAGCCCTAGCTCGAGCCCGAAGCTTCGGCTTCGCAGAGCAATCCTATTTCTCACATGAAGCTCGTCTCTTCGATCAAACGCAGAGCCTCATAGTTCACTCTCCCTCGGCTTTCTTCAACTGCACGCGAGCACAGCGTCGCTCCTCCTCTTCTTCAGTCTCGGTTCGACGCAGGCTCCCTTCCTCTACTACGTGAGCACGGCGCCGAAGGTTGCACCTCCCCCCTTCTCCTCGACTTCGACTTAATCCAGAGCACACGCCGCCACCGCCTCCTTCTTCCTTCTCTCAGCTCGACGCAGAGAACCCACGCACGCAAGGATTTCCATCTCCTTCCTCTACACACAAGCACAATGTCAATGCCTTCTTCGGCTATGGCTTAGGGTCGAAAAAGTAAGAGATATACGCACGTCCCTTTCTTTTCTTCCTCTCGCTTCTCTGTCGTTTCTGAAAATGATCCTCTCGACTCTTAAGCCTAAGCGTAACGACGGTTAGCCCTGACACCGATTCTATTTATTTATTTATTTATTTATATTATTTTGTTTTTTACAATAAGTATGTGATCGATGAAGAAAAACCATTGAGATATAAAAATAGAAATTGTATTTTCGATATTAATGGTTTATGGAAAGAAATTTTGCATGAAGTACTCTACTCCATGCCGTGGCTGAGGAAAAATTATTCCATCAGTACTACGCACCTTAAGGAAGGTGCGTATCCCATAAGATGGCGCCACCTGTAAACTACGGTCCCACTTATTCCATCAGTATTCGCGACCCGGACCCGACTCAAAACCCGAATTCTGAAAAATATCCCGCCATGATAAAATTATTTCGCGCCAAAGTACTGTTCCATTCGAAGGAAAATTCGAAGGGTGAAGAAATATTTTCGCTGGTTTTATCACACCTTCGTTCATAGCTCCGGTCACAGCTCCGTTCACAGCTCCGGTCACAACTCCGCCATAGCTAGGTCTTGTTGGAATTCTCCATCGACGTTCAGATGCCAGAAGTCGATTTCTCCATGAACGTTGAGATGCCGGAAGTCTCCATGAACGTTGAGATGCCATCATTTAGCCTGAACTTTGAAGGTCAAGATCAAGTGAGTCTTGGTGTTACTGTTGTGTTATTTCG